CGATGATATGATATCAGTTTTGTTTTGTTAACATTTAACTTTAATAATATGCGTCCATAGTAATCTGCTACACGATCCAAATCCTTTTGAAGATGAATACAGTCATCTTCTGATTTTATACATTTTGAAATTTTGGTATCATCAGCGAACGAAAAGATGCATGAATCGGTCACGATGAAAGGTAGATCAATTACAAACATGATGAACAAAGTTGCGCCAATGGGATAACCTTGACCAGTACCAGAAGTTACTTCTATTGGGTCTGATTTGGTATCTGCTATCTTGACTATTTGTCTGCGTCCAGACAAATACGATTCGATCCATTTTAACAGCTGTGTATTCAATCCCATGATGTTTAGCTTTTGAATTAGTAATTTTACATTCACAGAATCAAAAGCCTTTGCGATGTCCAAATATATGGTGTCTGTTTGATGTCCCTTTCCCATGTTGATTATCGTATTCGATGTAAATTCTGCCAAGTTCGTTATCGTTGACCTATTTTTGATGAACCCATGCTGACTTTCGTGTACTATGTTCTTTAGATATTGATTGAGATGGTTCGTGACGATCGAATCTAGAATTTTTGACACTATACACTGGAGAGCGACACCACGGTAATTTTGAACGTTGTTTCTGTCACCGTTTTTGTAAACCGGTCTGACAAAAAACGTTCTCCAAATCTGTGGTACATTGCATGTTTCAAGAGATTCTCTTAACAATGTTGTGATTGGCCCCAGCAATGAAACCAAACAATGCTTGATAAATCTATTTGGTATTTCATCAGGACCACTGACTAGATCATCCGGAAGCATGTCAATTTGTTTGTTGTATTTCAATCGGCGATATTTCAGCAGAAATGTCGCGAATATTTTCAATCTGCGAGTTGTCATATCGTAGATCTCCCGTCAAAGAGTTGTAGGCTGAGGCAAAAAGCTTTGCAAAGAAACCAGCGATTGTAGACTGGTCATCTGCCCTCATATCCAGATAAGACATCTCATGCGGCAGATCATCACTTTTCCCCTTTTTGCAATTCACATGTCAGAAAAATTTCCTAGGATCCTCGTCTATCAGATTCTCCATCTCAATTCTGTAATCTTTGAGTGCTGACCGTGCACTGCGTTTATATTCTCTTCTTAATTGTTTAAGAATATTTCTTGAAATATTTTTGCAGCAATCGTTTTATATTTTTCGCGACTATTGTTCAATTATCAGAAGGATCGACACGTCTCAAATACATTCAAGAAACATTTAATTTGACGTATATTTATAGCACGAAAGGCCGAAAAAAAGCAAACATTTGTAGATAATTTGCACTCCATTTTTAATGTTCAATTTCATCTAAAAAAACAGTGAATGAAAATGAGTTTCTGTTCATTTTTACTTTGTGAGTGATAGCATTGCCGTTTTCATAGCAAGAGTGGTAACATCCAAACGACATTGATTTATACAGAAAATGGAAATGTGAAAAATCGCCACTGAGATATAACGAAACGAAATGGAAAATGTTGACAGAAACGAGTGACGACAGAGCAAATAAACATAAAAAAATAAGCAAACACAATTATTTGATACAAACGCATGTGTGAGCGCTCATGATGCGTGCAAAGCAACACAAACAGAATATAAATTTTGTGTATGAATGGCGAATGGACTGTAAACCAACATGACGACGATATTTTCCGTGTGCATCAACATCATCATGTCCATTCTAACGAAAACATATTGATGACGCCATTGCACATTACGGAAAAAGCGGCTAAGCCTATCCATGCGAACTTAAAAAGTACCATTGAATTTAATCTATTTGCCATGGAGATTTATCTGCTTAGAATAAAGCTCTTTAACAAACGATTATAGTTCATTTTTTTCTCTATTTGTAGTGTGCCTTTTTTTATTCAACGAAAATCGTAGTTGACTAGACACTCAATCACACAGATTTATCATGGACTTTTCAGTATTTCAGTATTTATTTATTCACCGTCTGATCACAGACTGTATTTATCACAACATTTTGTACAATACCATTCACAATGAATCACTATACCCGATCGAATATCCAGCTACCAGCCTTGTCGACTTCGGAGCAGCAGATATCGATTGTGTTCATTGTTTTAATCTCTAATTTTCAATACAATTTTTATAAATATTACAGTTTTCACCGTTCAACAAATATTATATTTTCCAATTTAAAAATATTACTTCTAAAAATTTGTCTCGATGCTGATTCTAAAAACGTTTCTCTTATTAAATTAAAATTCCTACAAGCTACGTAAAATGGCTGGTTATGTGCATATTCCGATGTAAATGTTCTAACTCTAATTAGTTCTGTATTTCTTAAATTTCTTTGGTTCACGTTATATTGCTGTCGTGTGTATACAATTTTATTTCGAAGCGAACTAGATACTATTTTACCCAAAAGGAGGTCATAAATTAAAAATATAGTGGCATTTATACGCCGTCTCCAAAGCGGTTGAATGTTCAAAACATCACATCTAAACTGATACGGTGGCAATACATAATTCTCATCTCTCTGATATACATATCGTAACGACCAGATGACAAAATCTTTTTGAATTGATTCTATTCTATCGGAGTGGATACGATGATATGGAAGCCATACAATACTCGCGTATTCCAATTTTGACCTAACTAGTGCACAATATAATATTTTTGCAGATTCGATCGTGTACTTATTCTTTAATGTTCGTTTGATGAAACCCATTGCCGCATGTGCACTGGCTGCAATCGCATCGATGTGATCAGTGAATGTTAGTTTTGTGTCGAAAATAACGCCGAGATCCTTTTGCATTTTGGTCAGTTCAAACGTATGATGACCGTTGTCGATCGTATAGTCGTAGTTGACTACGTTTGCACCCTTTGCATACGTCATTACGTAGCACTTCTTCAGATTCAAATGCAGGTTGTTTTCGTTACACCAGTCGCTCAATTGATCAATGGCTTTTTGAAAAATGATGGCATCAATGGGCGAATGAATAGTGCGGATCAATTTCAGATCATCTGCAAATAATAAAACAAGTGCATTTGACACAGTTTCGACAATATCGTTTATGAAAATAATAAAGAGACATGGTCCCAAAATACTTCCCGCGGGTACTCCCGATGGTACAATGAAAGTCCTTGACTTTTTTTCACCAATTCCAACAAACTGCGATCGTGATGTCAAATAACCATGGAACCATTTGACAATTTGGCGGCCGAATCCAAATCTCACCAACTTCTGCAACAATTTCTTGTGGTTCGATCGAAGGCCTTCTCAAAATCTGTGTACAGTACATCCGTTTGACATTTATTGACCATTGAGTCCATCGTGAAATTTACCATTTGCAGTAAATTTGTTGAAGTTGATCGATTTTTCACGAATCCATGTTGATTGTGGCTGATTTGCGCATTAACAAATGTGTCGATTTTGTCATAGACAACAATTTCGAATAATTTGGCTATTGTTGGTATGATCACTACTGGCCTGTAATTCACTGCATTGCTCTTTTTACCAGCCTTGTAAATTGGCACAATTCTGGACTTTTTCAATGCATCTGGAACACATCCTTGTAGAAATGATCTACGAAATAGCGCTGTTAACGGTTTCGAGAATGAGTGTGCGCAGTTTTTCAACACTTTCGGTGATATTCCATCTGAACCGGCTCCTTTGTTCGCGTCAATGGATTGCAATGCCTTTAACACATCGGCTTCAGTGATTTCAAAGTCAAATGATACGTCTCCGCATTCATCCAGCAATTCATCCAAGGCGATAATGTCGCTTCGTGTGTACTGATTTTCGAAAAAATCAGCGAATAATTCCGCTTTCGATGTGTCGGTATTCGCTGTCACATCATTATACTCAACGATAGCTGGAATATCGCTCCGTTTCCTTCGATCATTCACAAATCGCCAAAAGTGTTTTGGATTTGATTTGATTTGTGATTGTATGCGGCTGATGTACGATTTGAATAACTTTCACCAATCGGAATCATGCTAACAACATATTTTGTAAACTATGGGTTAAATCCTTTTCTTTTTTACACAGTTAACACAGCATTGTTCGAATTTTTTTACGAATTTCTGTGTACCTTGTGCACATTTTTTTTGGAGATTTGACAGTAAAAAGCAGAGCCATGAAAATATATTTTCCTTAAGCCATTAAAATTGTTTATTAAATTTCTTTAAATGTTTACAAATACATCTATTTAAATATTGTTTATCAATGAAATCCAAATATGTATTGCAAATTCCAAATTAAGTATCGCACTAATAGTGCTGATAGATTTTGGAGAAATATGGTTAAGGTTGATGTAACATATAATGCGTATGAACATGACGAATGTTTGAGTTAAATGTTCGTGTAAATATTGTGAAAATCATTTATAAATGTATATAGGTCTATTATAGATAAAATGAAGGTAAAAAAATTGAAATGTGTATATAAACTTAAAAACAAACAAAATATATAATTTAAGTTCAATATGATGAAAAAAAAAATCGAAAGTGACAAAAAATATATAAAAAAATCTCTTTCCGCTTAATACCAACATATACCTTGTTTGTCACTTTAAATGTGTGTAAATATGTCGACATTTATCTTAGTTTCAAAAACAACTAATTGAATAATTATCTGACTAATCGTTCAGTACAAATCGTTCAGTTTTAAAATAATAATTCAAAACAGTTTGAATAAAGTTTGATCTAAAACTTCAAGAAGACACAATTTCACCCTGTTTGTTTAATTCAAAAACTTGATTAAACGATTTTACAGAGATAACCGTTCTTTTTCATTATAGATCGTTATTTGCTATTTTCTAATATTAATTCTTTAATACTATCGAAAATTGATTGCGCAAATTTAGAGAATATGGAATCGTATCAGTGAAGTAGGAAATAATCTATTTTGATGATTACGACCTGTGAAAAATGTGAGGAATCTTTTTGATGATTTTTGGTTGCCAGCAAACTCACAAATTACAAGTCGGTGTCATACCAAGCGGCCGCTTGATTATCGCCTGCGGGTGGAGATGGCATTGAGTCCAATAGTTCGCCTGCACCAATTTCTCCGACGTCCATGTCCATCTCGTATGGTGAAGTTGGCCCAACCAATGATGGACTACATAACTCTAGCCCTTGGAACGAGTCAATTGGTATTGGCAATGTTTCATATGCTATAATCGAAGAAAATGTGTGAGAAAATTAAAATCAAAACCGAAATAAGAATGTTCAAAGTCAAATTAAGTCAAATGATTCAATAAAATAACGAAACCAAACTAATAAGTATAAAAAATGAAGGGATAATCAAACATAAGATTTTATGAAATTGAAAAACCCATGCAAACTGAATATGGGGGAAAACTAATAAACAAAACTTTATAAAACACACTCAAATAAAAAATAAAAAAACGAAGCACTAAAATACGATGACAATAGAAAAGTTTACCATTCACCTATTCTGGGTTAGTTAGTATGACACTTTTGATAAAATCCGTATTTTAGTAATAGCTTGTCGCAATCATTCGTTGTCGGATTATATTATGTGGTGATTTAAGATTAAATTGAAGCGCTTTTTTGTGCTACTTCTTTAACTAAACATTGTGACTAGACAGTTGCATCATTTTTTTGTTTCTGCTATTTCTTTGTATATGATTAAAACTTAAATGTAAAAATCTTTAGTTTAAATATTTTATGTTATTATTTTCTTGAAATCTAAATTGTTAAGTATTTGGCTGAACTTATTAATTTAGGCTGGCTTAGCTACAAGGAAAAGAGACATGTGTGTGAAAAATAGAGAAAGACATAGAAAACGGTGAGTTTTTTTGCGATTAGTTTTCTTCAGTCAGGCATAAAAAGTAGATTTGATTAGTCAAATTATTATATTTTTGTTATTTGATAATGTGATGTTTTTGGCATTTGTTATTTTTCATTGAACTCATCATCAAAAAACTTATATACCTTGTTGGAACATTCGTCCACCGTGTGAGCTGTGAACACTGGGCGGACCTTGTCCATATAGTCCCTCATATGCTTGATCGGCCCCAAGCATGTCCTAAATCGAATATGAAAATATTGTTAAATTTTTATCGGACTTTGCAATAAAACATGCAGTGAATTGAATGAACAAACCTGTAGATCTGGCCCAAGACCAATGTCATTTGTCCAAGCGGTATCGTCTCGCAACAATGAATTGGTCAATTCAACGGATAGACGTTTTCGATATTCGGTCGATTTATCTTCACTCATTCGGAATAGGATAGCCGCTGCATAGGTGGCAACACCTTCATTACGTGAATGCAATAAGTCGGTGAGTGGTGAAGTTGCTCCAGCAGCTTCGATCATGTCAGCACTCTCTTTATCGTTTGATAGTTCACACAGAACACCAGCAGCAACACGCTGTTTAGAATCAGAATAAATGTTCGTGTCAATTATAAATATTCGAAATATAAGATGCCAAATTTCATTGAATTCTTACCTGAATATTTTCAATGTCACTCGAAAGCAAAGAAACAAATATTGGTATAGCTTCTTGTTGACGAATCAGTACTCTGTTGTGTGGATCTCTTGCGAGGATATGTAATGCACCAACTGTGCCCTCAACGATCTCTTCCATACGAACACCATCAGCATATGCACCTGGCTGTTGAGATCCATTGCTAGCCATTGACGAGCGTTGCTAAGTTAAACAATGAAAATTTATCAAGACGTTTGACACATAAATACACATATTCTCCCAATTTCTTTGCTGAAAACCCAAATATTACATTGAAAATACTTACGATGTCCTGTTGTGCCTTATTCAACAAGTGAATTAAACAGTGTATGGCATTTTGTTCGCGAAGTGGCGCATGATTTGCATGGCACAAAGCCAAATTCCGGATTAATCCAATAACGGCTTTAATCAATGGCCAGCGAGATGGAGGACTCAACAGTTTGACGACAACACGTATACCGTAATTAATCAAGCGAACGGCGTTCTGTGCCATTTCGGCCAATTCGTGACGTGAAGTCAAATGGCGTAATGCACAAACAGCTGGTTCAGTGATCTCCTCACGATCGCCAGCATTAATGATCGTATTGACCAGTGCTTCGACACCATTCACTTGGCACACAATCTGTTTATTGCGTTGATTGTTGCATGTCAAATTTGATAGGATTCCAGCGGCACATGTCACAAAGTTGGCATCTTGTGAGCCGAGAACGTGAACCAAATTAGTCAAGAGCATATCGAGTCCATCGGTTTTAGTGGCTGCATCGGATAAATTACGCAATGTCCACAAACTATTTTGTACCAACCGTTGTGATGGATTGGTTAAATGCATGGCCAATGCTTGCATGCCACCAGCTCCGACAATGGCGGGTTTGTTACTTGAACAAACTGAAAGGACCTTCAATACACGTGAAGTAGTCCACAAAAGTTTCTCATAGTCATTGGAGCGCATAATGCGAACCAATTCATTGGGTCCGCCGGATGCCAAAATAATCAATTTACTCTCTTGATTGCCGTAGGCAAGAATTTGAAGACAATCGGTGACGATTGCTAAAAATTTGACATTTTGTCGCTGCAACAATTGAACCATTTTTTGTAGGCCTCCAGCCAAGCGAACAGCTGTCTTTGATCCATCTTGATGAAGGAGCAAATTATGCAATGTGGTAATTGCATAGAATAGCACTGATTCAATTGGAGATGATAAAAGTTTTACCAATGCCGGAATTCCGCCGCTTTTGAATATGGCAAGTAAACCTTGACGATGGTGCGATAAATTATGCAAAGTACCGACCGCACCTTTGGTCGTCTCCAAATCGTTCGAGGTCGAAATGGCCTGAACGAGAGCTTGGATCATTGCATTACTTTGCATAATTGCATGTCTGAAAAAGAAACAATATGATTACAATCGACAATCGAATGAATTTAAAGAATATGGATTTGCAGACCTGGATGCTTCTTTGCGCGATAATTGATGCACCATCATGGCGGCATGTGAAACGATATAGTTATCCTCATCGTTCAGTAGCTTAATCAATTCAGGTATAGCGTGCGTGGCCAAATCGGCGTCATCTTGATAGTTGATCAAATTGACAACTGCATGTTTAAGCATTTGTGATGGTTCGGATAGACGTTGTACGGCAGTCGGTTGCTGTGTATCAAATTGTGTCGACGGAATATTAATGCCTTCCTCAAGAGTTTCTGGGAACATTGCAGCACGGATGCGTTGCGAACGTGTTTGGCTCAATTGAGCGTTCATATCATCGACTTGTTCTTGTGTGAAATTCTGAGTATAGCCGCCCTGGTCCTGATTATAGCTACCCTGGTTATCGAACATCAATGGCTCATTTTCCATTCCTTCGTCTTCTTCATGGCCACTCAATGATGGCACCTGGGTCACAACACCCGAATTGATACCGGAATCACAAGGATACGGATTCGGCCACATCATTATCTGCTCCTTCGCAGACATCATTTCTTGCGGATGTGGATTGTTATATTGTTGATGAGGCACTTTAAAAACAATTTAAAAGTTCATAAATAAACAAAAAAATTCTAAATATTTACTCAGAGGAATTGAATAGTGTGAACTGAAATGTGTTTTGTGTAATTCGACATTTGACACTGTATATGAACAACTTCGGTGTAAATCCATTCGTAATACATAAAATGCATAACATCAGAAACCTGTTCTTTTTCTCAAGAATAAATTTTTTATTTCACTTTTTCACTATTATTTATTATTATCTTATTAAAAAAATGACAAATTAAAAAAAATCAAAAGAAAAAGACAAACCAATGTCAGACTAAACAAAAGTAACATTGCGGTTCGAAATGCATTCTATATTTTCATAACAATAAACTGAATTTGTTTTGCAAATATTCGTTTTGTTTCGTTATTTTCGATCTTTGTAGTCGTTAAGGAACTATTTTAGTTAAAATTTATTTGATATTAAAAAAACATTTCTACACAAAACACATTTCAGTTCACACTATTCAATTTCACTGAGAAAAACATTCCAATTCACGATTGTGCTTATATGCAAGTATAACACACGTACATCTTTTAGTTGAAATATTCTATAAAATATTTGGGCATTCTTACAATGTAATTAAATGAAGATAATAATACTTACTGCCTCGATTTTGCACTGGATTATAACTCATGACAAAAATCTCACTCTAAAATGCAAGAATATTTATTTTTTTTGAAGAAATATTAAAAACAAACAATGTAAATCAGTTGTTTCACAATACAGCGCAAGCGACACTGACAAACAAAGTGAATTTTTATTGTAAACTAACGCTGTTCTTCTCTTTCTCTTTGCTGTTTGTATTTGTGTTAGTACTGCTTTTCTGTGTTCATGAGTGCGGTCTGTCTGTGTGTGCACGCATGTTATTGTGCATTATGTACGCGACCTAATGTAGAACTGATAATGTTTTCTAAGGGTGCGTTCAATAATTTATGCTGTGAATTTGTATGTTCTTTTGACAATATTCGACGCAAGTTTTCCAAATTGAGATATTGATTTGTTTTGTCTATTTTTTTAAAACAATATTCATGTAGAATTAATCGAAAAAAAAACAATATGTTTCTTTTCTACGGATAAGCCGTAATTTTTCAACAATGAAATTGTTGTAAACAATGCAATAGAAAATTAAACATATTTTACACTTGAAACAATTAGAAAAAACCATCTACGGATTGTGTCAATTCCAAACTGAAATAAATCATTTTGATTGAAAAGAAACAATTCAGTGTGACAACAAAATCATGACTATATAATTCCTTGCTCCAAAATTTGAAAACGTATGATAATCGAATGCATTGTTTTTGACCATTTTTCAATATTTAGTTGAATTTCTTTATGGTATTAAGTTTATGAAATAAAAAAGCTTCGGTCGAGGTGAAGAACGAATGATGAAACCAACATTTGAAACACAAAATTTCTGATATCAATTTTGTGATGAAAATAGTTGGTAGATATTTTTTCCTCGACAGAGATTTTTTATTTGATAAAAATGATTTTGTGAGCGACATTTTCCAAATTAAAGATTCATAACAACAAGAACTTTCTGGGATATAAGCTATGCGGCGTTTTATAGCTTAGATTAAGACCTAAGATCGGTGACATTTTCAACGGACCGAGTTAGGCTCGTTATGTGTCCGTCCGAACGGTTTTTGGCCACACTGAAATTTTTTTGACCACAATCGGCACCGTCAAGATCTTTCCAACGATGTGCATATGGTCGGGATGTGACAAGTGTAAGGTTCCTCGGTGGTAATGGGGTCAAAAGTGAAAAAATTACTTTAATAGTTCGGCCACGGCCAAAATGACAGTCAAATCGAAAAAGTCTTAGCAAAGCTGGTTCTTCATGATATTGTTGGCTTGTCAGACCAAACTACGCTAAAAGACGTTGCTTTATCAAAATTTATTAAATTTTTGAAACAACATGTTTCTATTCTATGGACGATAACCGATAATCGTTCTACGCACTAATCAATATGCCAATTCAAAAAAATATTGATCGATTACTCAAGCCATTCTTCACTACAGGTGATAAAATTCAAACCGAATACGTTAAAACTTTTGAAAGAGTCGAACTCATGTCATTTTCAGTTTGTTCACGCGGTTTAATTGAGTTTTAATCGTGAGAAAGAAGAAAACACTTGTTGCAATGTTATTGAACAGTAAAATACCCAAAGTGTTACAAAAATTTCCAGATTTCACCTATACAGATCTATATAGAGTGCCGATAAAATCAGTTTGTGAAAATAAAGGGAGCGCTTATTGAGTCTAGAGGGCAGGAGAGCAATTCAACCTTGTAAAACTTCGTCGGATTACGAAATAATCCAACACAAAGTTGTTCAGAATTATGAGAGAATTTTTAGCGCCATTCACCCCATAGGAGGGGTCATACCCCGTCAAGATATGATTTTTTTTTTCGTGAAACCCAAAAATTCGGATTCTGCTAAAATACTTTTTGGTTAGAATTTATGTTTGTCTCGTGCGCTCTTGGGCCAAGTCTCCCGTTTGAGTATGTTGGGGAAACATAAGACTAAAATGCTACAAAGTTGATTGTGCACCTGTTGGAATGCCGAACAACATTGTAATGAATTATTACGTGTTCCGGAGAAGTTTTGCAAGGTTCGGTTGCTCTCCTGCTCCCTAGAACCAATAAGCGCACCCTTTCTTTTCACAAACTTATTTTTTCGATACTTTATTTTGTCGATCTGTATAGGTGAAATCTGAAAATTTTTGTAACACTTTGTGTACTTTACTGGTGAGAATTTAATAAAACTGCCATCAATTCATAAAGCCAATGAAGAAAATTATTTTTGCTTTTCCTTTATTTACTAATTTTCTTTTCATTCAAATACAATTTGCTCTAATCTAATTTTGTCGCCTATGCTCAGTCCACTCCTTATCTTCTTCCACAATTTTTTTGGTTGATCATTTATTTTTTCTTTGTTAGTTTAATGTTTTTTTTTTTTTGTTAATTGTTAGAACACTCAACATTTATAAGTAAATTACAATATGAATCGTATTTTGAGGAAATCAGAATCAGAATTTCTCTCGCACGATGTTCCCACCATTTTTTTTTCATATCTTATCTTTTATCACAAACACGACTTAAATTAATGACTTTTTATGAGTTTTTTTAAATTATTTTTATCTTTAAATTGTAATTTTGATAAATTTTGTAATCTAACCGAAACGCCAAACCAATTCATTAAAAAATGTTTCTTGCTTTCAAATTCATCCCTTTTGCAATTTATTGTTTTCGCATTGTTCGATGCAAATATTCGCACATTCTACAGTATTTTTAAACTCTTTTAATTTTTATGAAAATATTTTGCACATTGCAAATTTTTTCTATTTTTAGCCATCAATTAAATGTTTGTTGTTTTCATATGTATCTGAATGATTCCTTGTTAGCTACCGACAACATTTATTTGTTAATAATTTATTATGATATTTGAATAAATAATTTCCTTTTCTTTGCTTTGTCAATTTTAGTTTGAAGAGATTGTTTCCATCAATAGAGGAAAGGGAATAGATTCATGATATACTTCTACACGTGGTAGTTTGTCCACTTTATAAATCGGCCAATTTCAAATTCGAAAAATGTTTATAGCACGGGAAATAATTTATGTTGTTCATGTTATTATTTGTCTTTTCGGATTCAAATACGTTGCATTAGAATTCATTAATCAGAGCATGAATCCCCTGTCGGTTAGTAAGCAATGTTTTTGACTAATTTAAAGCAAATTTTTTTCCTAATTTTATTCATTTTTTTACGGGAACATTGTTATAAATGCTGGTTTTAAGTTTTATTCAATTTACCCCAATAAATCCATTTTTTCTAATTACGCATGCATTCGAAACATCTCGTTATGTACGCGGTTTTGTTAATGCTACATAATTTCAGATGTTTTTGATTTATTGTTCTATTGCGAAAAGCAGGTCTCACTTTACTATTTCGTTTAAGCTCGGGATTCACTTTATAAATCCAATTCCTCAAAAATAATGCTTTGATATTAACACATTTTCGAAGCATAAATCTAAGAACTGTAAATGAACTCATCTAGTGCTGTATTTAGACTTATGAGATTTCATTCTTTTGTTTGAAAACAGAGGTTTGGTTTCTTTTACTATACATTGATGAACATTCGATCCAACGGAAAATTGATAAAAACACATTTTGTGAATTTTTGGAACCGTTCAAGAAAACTTTTCAAAACAAAATTCATTCATTTCCGGTTTGATATTGGCGATGTTTCTGCTCATCAAAATACCATGAAGCTAGTGTATATATCGAAAAAGAATTTCAATTTGTGGTGTATGTGCATGTGTGCGAATTATACAATTTGTGTGTGTAACTGATTTTAGTTAAAAGACGAACGAACAACTGGACTGAAATACTAATTTTCGTGAGTGTGGGAAATTTAGAATTTGTTACGCAATTTCTCTTTGTTCGTTTTAAATTTGCTATTTTAAATATTGAGTGTTCCTTTCTTTTTGATTATGTGTGTATTTGTGTGAAAATTATTACTGATGTCGAAATAATTTCATTAATGGGATAAATACATTTTTTTAATAATGTTGAATAAATTGTCTCTCTTTCTGGTAATAAGACTCGTATCTTGGATTAAATAAGATTCCGAATAGTGCATTGAATATTTACGATAAATAAATGCAGGATATATGTATATATATATATTTTTTTAAATTTGAATGCCTTATCAAATTGTATTTGTAGAAATGTCTACTCTAGCATTCTCAAATAGAACTTTTAGGTTTCATTAATCCAAAGTGATTAAATACTCGTCGTAACTTGTATTCATTTGACTCTGTTTTGTTTTAAATTTAATGAAAAAGATTAAATAGCAGCATGAATTTGGTTTATACATAATTTTGTCACAAGCCAACGCGAGATTCTCTTACTTATTTATTTTTTGTTATTATTAGAGGAGGAAAAAGTCTTAATTTTGATATATCAATAAAATATTGATTGAACACTTCGAAGCATTCAATTATCCAAATTAAATTATATTGAAACCAATAACTTACGTAACATAAAACAAGAAATTATATTTCTTTATAATATCAGGTTACAAAAAAAGAAAACAAACTGGTTAGTAGAAATATTTGGTAAGTAATTATAAAAAAATTGTGACTAATGCATCATATGAAACGATAAAAAAAACATATCAAAATATATAAAACAAATAATAATACTTTGCAACAAGTGAACAATTCAAATAAAAATGAGAAGACTATAAAATATATTTTAATGTGGACATTGTTTTTTCAATGCAATTCGAATTGCGTTTTTTTTTTTTTCAAAGAGCGTTTATAAATAAGTTGCGCATTTTCCATGAATGTAGAGTTAAAGATGAAATTTAAATATAAATAGGATTTTCCTGTCCAGTCAACAACCGGAACATGGACGTCGGCATCGTTTTCATCAAAATCTATGAGAGCAAAATCCATTTAGTTTAAATAAATTTATAGAATTATATTATTTTCAATGAAATACCTCTCCGACAGATGTGGCTAATAGATTAACTATTTTCTCATGTGGAACGGCAACTACGCTTTGATTATTGATTTCAATAATGCGATGACCAACACGTACTCCTCCACGCTCAGCAATTCCACCGCGTAGCAAACTACAAATCTAAATTTTTGCAGAAAATCCGATGTTAGTTTCATTTCATTTGACCAATTGTTGTGCGTTTAGTTTTTAATTTGTTGCATAAATTTTGGCAAATACTTACGACACCATTTTGAACACTGAATCCGAGTTGGTACTTTGTGTTTGGTCGTTTTATTTTGACTTCAACAACCGGTGGACAAGGCACAACTGTAAATTTAACGGCGGTTTGAGTTTTTGTGTTTCGGATATATGTTTGGCATGTCGATAAGGGCAATCCAACCAAGCTAAGACCATTTATTGCAATAATTTGATCGCCAATATTTAATTGACCACAACGTGCAGCGGCTCCAGTTGACAGAAGATTTGCAATGACAACTGTTGGTAGCATTGAGCCCCATCCGGATTCAATCAATATCTGAAAAAAGAATCACAAAGAATTACAGTTTGATCTTTTTCAAATTGGCCAAATTAATGATGGAATCCAATGTTATGAAAAAATTCGTCCACTAAATGTCAATGAAATGAATGTAAAAGAATATAAATCCCAAAAATAAATGATTTGTACTCACCATGCCTAGTATTTCACCTTTTGTCTTTGGTACAACAACTTCCTTTTGAAGTTCTTTCTTTGCGAATATTTCTAATTCATCGCCGAAAATCTCTTGACTATTGAGCACCTCTTGATAGTCCATTTCCTTAACAAAGCTATGATCTTCAATTCCATTTGCTTTCAAAAATTCCATGTAGGCTACTTGGAATGCCTGCCCAATCGATTGAGCAATAAATTGAGCCTCGTCACTTTCGAATACGTGACAAATCATTTTTGGTGTACGATTTAATTTCGGTCCATCATCTGAATCGGATGGAACGAATCGACGACGAGCCATTAATACAACCAAATCACCAATATCAGCTATGTAGGATATGGTGCGTAGGGCATGATCCATCATTATTTCTTTTAAATCCGTATTTAGCACCATTATTTTCTCTGTTGAAATGAACAAATCAACCTCCGTACTGGGCTGTGATTCACCTTCTGGAGCCTATTGTTTGATGCAACATAGAAAACACCCAGATTTTTATAAGAAGAAACATATAAATATATATATATATATAGTATAAATCTATAATGTAATAAAGCCAAACACAAACACAGGAAAAATATACAAAATGAATTAATGATATGGTAAGGTGAACTTCTTGCCAAAAAGAAAAAGGGCATTTGAGAAAAGAAAGATACAATTCGGAAGAATTTTTGTTTATGTGATTACTGTGCAAAAATAAAACTGTGCGCCACCGAAAGACAAATACAAAGTGCAATTGATTGCATCACGAAAAAAAGAACAACATTTTTGTTTGGTTTTATTTTTGTTTCTACGTACCAATGCCTATTTGAAATTCAATTTTGTTATTTTGAATTGTGTTTGTTATTCCACATGCAGCGGTCATTTGTGTTAGTTAACATGAATGACAAATCGAATTGCGAAATGATTATTCGAAGAAAAGAGAAAAAAGATAGAAAATTTTACATTCAGTTAGTTTTAGACATGAACAATATTCGTATAAATATAATCAATGACCAGTTTTAACTTTTCAAGTAAATTGATTTTATACTTTATGTCAGGTCACTAGCTTCTACAATGAGTACCTTTCTGATTCATTGAATATGCGTAAATTTTTGTTTTGTATTAGTTTTTTTATGCCACGTATAATAATTTACCTTGATGCGCGAGACAGCTTCTTCGGCCTGCATCATGCGAGTGGATTTGGTTGGTTGTCCTTCGCAAACAAGCTGAGTAGATCCCAAATATCGGGCTCTGAATAAAACGCCCTCAATCAAAACTGCTGGTTCCCAATAACGACCTTCACAAAAATACAAACACATTTTGGAATTATTTTTACCATCTTCTATTCTATTTGCAAAATGAAATGTTGGAATAGAGTGAAACTTATTGGTTAGACAATTAAATCATTGACACTTACACAATTTCCAGTTGCATCAAGCATATGAAGTATTGTTAGTTTGATAGTTATTGTGGTCAGTTTCATTTGTTAGTTGTTTTGATTTGAAATTAATTATAATTTTCGTTTTATGGTGTCAGATGTTAGATTAGTAGTTAGTGATTAGCATGATATTTGGATGAAAATCATAAGAAATACAAATGGAAAATATCAGTAAAATTGTAAAAATGTATCCTCCCACCAAAAATAGATATTCATTTCATACAAAATAGTATCGTATACCTTCTTTATTACGTGACTTTCCGGATCGATTTTTTTCCGTTTCGTTTTTGGAACTCTGCGAATCGGATGGGCTTTTTTGAATTTTTGACAATTGTGACTTGTTTGGTGACGTTGAGCTATCTTTATTTTCATTTTGATTGCTGACGCTCGGATTTTTTGGTAGATGTTGATTTGATGACTGTGGATTCGGTGGCGATGACGATGAATTCGATGAATTATTAGCACATGCTGCAGATACACCACTTGATGTTCCGATACCTAAAATAGACGTTTTACCAGATGTACCATACAGAAATGATTTGTCGCCAATCTAGATGTATACCTTGTCGAATTGACGCAGATGAAAATGTTTGTGCGTGATGTTGTTGCTGTTGCATTGTTTTCGATGAAAGTGATGCCGAAGGAGACTTAATCAATCGAGATGGACGATCACACCAATTGGTCGACGACTAAAATACATACAGCCGCTTTAGATAAATAAATTTATTCAGATTGTGAGAGGTTATATTCACCTTGTCATCATAAAAACCATGATCATCAAGACGTTGTTGGCCAAGTAAACGATCAGTTTCTAAATCGGTATCAGCTTCCTCATCATCAACGCTCAATGGTTTTGAAATATTGTGATCGGAATTGAGGCTTTCATGAGACTGATTATGTTGATTGTGATGATGACGAGGTAGCCATATCGGTGAGTTTTTGTCATTTTTCATTGGTTTTTTCTCCTCTTCGTGTTGTTGTTGTTGCTGCTGCTGCTGCGGCTGTAGCTGTTGTTGACTCGCTGTCGGTTGAAGCGTCTTTGATTGCTGTATCGAACTGCGAATATCTTTTAGTGTTGACTGTACTATTTCAATGTGATCTTCGTGGTATGATGAAACGTTCACATTGTTGTGTGTAGTACTTATCTGTGCCAAAGGAGCTAAAATAATACAATTAGTGGAAATTCGCTTCATATAAATCGATTATCTACTTACGATTCGAAAAAATGGACGAAATATCTGAGTCCAAGTAACTCTTACTAGATATATCCACGTGTTTCTCTTCTTTTATCGGCTGCTGTTGTTGTAACAGTGATGACGGTTGTGGTTGGCCAATTGTACTTATTTCTGCAGAAATGAATGTGTTTGTCATTTTCCAATTTTGTTTTAAAAACACTTTTTTATTAATCATATCTTACCAATGCCATTTTGAACATCTGGTTCTTTATTAGATGTTGTTTCGATCGTTGGACTTAACACATCAATCAAGTTAATGTTATTTGATTGGACTGCATTGCTTGTGTTATTTGTGGTGTTTGCAATTGAGCTGACTGGAGTTGGATTGAGCATTTTTCCCATACTATTTATATTGCTAGCAATATACTTGTTATCAAAAATATTGTTTATTTGCGCTGATGAATTGGTTGTATTGTTAGCTGTTGTTGATATATTATTCGCAGTGTACGGAACAGGGTTGTTATTTTCTGTGTCAGATGCATGACCGCTTGACAGGCCATCTTCGAGTACCGGCATACTGGTGTACAGTCGTGAATAGTCTGGTATAACGCCACTAGAGCTGTTCAATCCGGAACCAGTTAGGCAATGGCTGTTCATGCCAATACATCCATTTAAATCATTCGATAGGCTATCTAAATCACCGCAATTTGAATCATAATCAGTAGTTTCGGGAGATAGAGTAAAATGTCTTGAGTAGCGTCTCTGTTGATTCATTTCCAATTCTGTATCAGCCAATTCACCACTGCTACGACTATTCGAATCCAAATATAATTCGACATCATTATTTTCATATTCATCAGACTGCTGATGAGTATAGTTGTTGGCGTATCGTGATTTGGGCGATTGGTACGATGACGTATTATTATAATCTTTGTTATTTGTTGTGGGAACTTTGGCCAAACGCTGTCCAATATAATTGGCATCCATATTTTTCTCATCGATTTCATTCAGATTTTCCTAAAAAGTTTTAAATTTTTTGAAATTTTAACAAACGCAGTCGTAAATATCGTTTGTGTTTTAACTTACTAGACTTCCAGTATCACTTTCGTTGAAGCAATCAGCGATTTTCTTCTCCTCATCATTTGTTGGACATTTGAAAAAGTCTTCAAGTACTTTGCGTGTCTCCGAAAACTCATACAAATAATCAAATGTAGTTGTATTTGGAGCTGTAGTAGTGAATGACGAACGATTAGCATTGTTTGAAAGCGTTGTAGATGGCAAATGGTTACCCAATAAATTGATACGATCTACAAGTGAAATAAATTCGTTTTATTTTCTTTCGTATTTGAGAGTTGTGATTTTAATAGTCGATGAATTACCCGTATAGTTTGGTGTGGTTTTTGTATTATTTTCACTGACCGTGGCGCTTCTCTCATTTTTCGAGGGCGATGAGGGCGAATTCTGCGATGAAATAGGCACTGCTTGTGAGTTCGTGGGGGATGTACTATCACACGTTGCAACTTGTTTATTCGGAATGTTTGGCGTCGATGTAACTTGAGTGGGTGATACTGATGGTGAACATTTATTCAACGCATTATTCTGATATTCGAATCCTGTAGCGTTGCTGCATTTGTCTTTAGCTTCTTCGTTTGTTGATCCGTTTATGCTTGCATTTGATGGTGATGTTGTAATACGCTAAGCAATTATTGAAATAAAATTATTTTTAATTGTTATATTGCTTTTTCGCTTGTTAAATGAAATTACCTTCGGAAAACCGGGTCGAGGTGGAAACAGAGTTGGTGAAGTGAGCATTTTCCGTGAACTTGGTGGGCGGTCGAAGTGCTGTTGATTTGTCGTTGACGTGTATTGATATTGATGAAGAGGTAGATCTTGCTGATAGTGTCCAAAACGTCTTGGTGAACCTTCGTACTCTGCAATCGGCAGAATGCCTTTTTTTCGTTTAGACACAAAGATTGAGAGAGCAAACGGAAGTGATAGAAAATAAGAAACACAGGAAACAAATAACCAATTGCAACCAATTTATGGAAAAAAAAATTAGGTCAATTTTCAATTTTTGAATTTCTCTTTAAATTTTCATTTGGATCACAAGCACACACAGAGAATGGACTTTATTACTTCTACAAAAAATCAAATATCATTTGGAATTGATGACATTTTAAACTCAATCAAAAGCAATGGAAATAGAAACATTAGGATATTTTGGAATTACATTAAATATAATTTCTTGTTTTCTGGCTATGAAACTAACCAATCATTTTTGTCACATTATCCGTGCTAAAAGAATTTGTATTACTGTCACGTTCGTCGTCGTCATCATCATCGAGTAGCATGTGGTTAAAGCGGTAACTGGATTGAGACTTGCTGGTCGAATTGTTTTGTTGGTGTGACGCTTTGTTTTGAGACGGAAAGTGCTTTTCGTTTTGATTTCGCCAATTATCAATATCATCAAAAACAACAATTTCACCATCCGAAACCAGAGTAGCTGGTCGCTTGGTAGATGAACGCTGATGCGACTGGATTGGTGATACAGGACTTGTGGCATTCTTTTCTTTATTTTCGTGTTGATTGACTGGGCTGCGGCCAACTTTAATCTGATGTTGCACTGGATTGTGCGAATAATGATGCATCTCATTAAAATCGGGTGAGTTTAATACAGTGCTGGCAGGCGTTGTGTTTGGTGTACGTCTTCTTTTCTCCCAAATGTTTCCGTCGCGCATAAAATCATCACTTTCTGTCCATTTTCGCAGATCGTTTGACGAAGACTCCCATTTTTGATGCATTTTCGTCATTTGATTGGAACCGTCAAAACCACCAAGGTAATCGTTGCTTTGGTGCTGATTATTAGCATTACGTTGATAATTACTATTGCTATTATGCTGATACACTATGCAATATACGAAAAACGAAATCGATTACATTTTTTTATTACTTCACAACATTGAATGACAACGTATTATAATTCATATATGAAATAAAGTTTTATGAAATAAAAAAAATATTTAAATATGGCAATTACATCGTGTTGCATAGCCCGCGTGATTCATTCTTGAAGCTGTCTCGCCAATTCCGCTAATATTGTTTTGGATGAGTTCATTACTGTCATCATTGAGTGATGCATCTGCGTTTTGGTTATTCATATTGCGCGTATAAGCTCTACTGTTATCAATAAGCGTATTATCGGAACTTTCACTCACGATAAAATGTTTATTTCGATTTTTATAATCGCCGTTTGACGGCGATGATGCGAATAATAAAGAAGCTGAAGCTAATGCAGTGCTGTTTGTCTCAATATAGAGAGCCGTTTTGTTTAAATGTGCATCGTTTTTTGGTCGACACTTTGGGAACAACGCCGATATTTGTTCGTTTAAAATATTTGCCGACGACTTTGAGTCAACTGTAAGTATATTTGATGCAATCGACAGTGGAGCCGGAAAGTTTGAGGCAATATTTGCGCTGCTTGAGCCTGTCGTTTGGGGCGATGATAATTGATTTCCAGACGAATCAACCGCTGAACTATAATCCTTTGCAACGTAATAGTTATTTTCGCTGAGAATATTACGATTGTTACTACTTTGCGTATACTGTGCTATATTGATTTGGGATTTCCGATTATAATTTGCGTTCGTGGCCTTTTTATTATCCACTTGCTGCTGTTGTTGTTGCACATTTGCGCTTATCATCGCTCCTTCAAAAATGGACTCTGTCAAGCGTTACGAAAAATATAATTATTATTCATAACTAATTTGAAGCAAAATTAAAGGCTAAAAAACTGAACGACATCAAAGAAGGGGCCTGCAGAAAAAGGAAGTGGGCACAGGATATTGAACCTTAACATATGTTCAAAACTTGCACACTTAATCGGATAAAATACACATATACTGCGTAAATCCACGCAAAATGTAAAAGAAAGTTTGAAAGAATGAATCAGAGAGAACAAACTGGATTACACACAAAAGAAAAGGAAACCACAAAAAGAAAGAGAGACGGCGTGCATATTATGTTTGGGGGAAGGTAGAGTGAATCATCGATTGTCATTTGGGGTTGTTGAAACGAATACACTTTCATATACTTTATACACAATATTCGAAATTCATGTTAACAATATTTTCACTGATTTTCATGTTTTTTCTTTCAACGTTTTAAATTATTTTAACTTATTCACACAGTCACTTCTACTTTCAGAGATAAAATTACTTATTTCTGTCTTCAACAGTACATAATTTTTTCTACCGAGTTTACATCCAGACGTAATGAATTAGTGCATCAAGAATAAAAGTGTATTAAACTCTTACAGTACTGAGAAGAACATTAAATTTAAGTTAATAAACATTGAAATTGTAAAATGTAAAATCTCACCGAAATTTTCTTTAAATTCTTATATCTTAAAAAAACCAGAGCACAAAAATGGAACAGAACATGAACTATGTTCTACGACGTTCTCTGCACTACATACAGCGAGTTAAGTGTATGTTGAAAAGTGGCGAAAACGAAAGAAAAATCGATAACAACGAATTGCGGTGGCCATCCGTATACAGTACAGTACACATGCACAACCACCACAGGGATGACGCACGAATACGGTTGAATTCACACGTATTGCAAGCTATACCATGGAGCCAGTCATACACTGTATCGAACGGGAAAAGTTTTGTGTAAAAGAAGGGAGAATTCATTTCGCTGTATGTTATCAAATACGGTCGCGGCGACATACAAACATTCGATATTATTGAAAAAGGAAAATCTAACCATAGGGAAAATCATTATTACACACACACACCCAAACAGTCTGACACATCGCACTTTGTATAGAGACGAACATATGTAGATACTGATACGTACACCACCGCCGTATCAAGACGCAACCACTTTTTCCAATAGATTTAAAGAAATATTCGATGCAAAATCTGTCTATATTTTAAGTTGATTTTTTTTTCTTTGGTTTTACTTTGGTCATGCTTAAATTCAATGCTTTTAAACTTACCAATTGCAACATTTTACTACTAATGATGTATACAAACGAAACAGAAATCAGAAAATGATTGCTTGTTGATTTTGTACACTTTGTTTTGGTTCCTTTGTTTAATGACTCGGTAAACTTTTTTTCACCCAAAACTTTCACACACATTTAATCGCATTTCAAATAAAATATAAACATAAATTTATTAAAATTATCGCGCACCAAAATTATCAAATAAATATTCTAATTATTAGAGAATGTTCACACTATTTTAAAACAAACATGTTAGTACTTTCATTCTGCTCACTTTGTATTGTACACCTTTATGATGAACTCTATGGGTTTTTAAAGCAATTCGTATTGATTTTGACAATTGTCTAGCAAATACATTTAGGAAAATAAAAATAAAACCGAAAATACAACACACACTGACATACGGCGCTCTTACGTGGCGAATTCGATTGAAGGCGAATTCGGAATATGACAGTCCAATTGGATGAAAACACAGTTGTATTTCAAGTATTTTCTTCAGTTTCAGATAAGAACGTAATTGGTTTCTGCTTATTGGTTTCTTTTTTTTGCTTATAAAAATTTGATATTTAGCCAATATTGCACCATGATATGAATAAAGTAAATATTCCTACGCAATTGTATCTTTTACTTTTTATGATTCGCACCACTTATGGCAACACTGAATTCGTTGCAAATATTTTGGAATACGACTATAATATTTGCGATTTTTAAAAGTGATATATGAGCGTTTGTGAAAAAACAAAAGCAATTGGTAATTATATCCTCGCCTACAGATTTGCCACAGTTTTTAGTTCAAATTGCACTCAAAACATATGATTGATTTGGCAAAATTTTGGGATTATGTTGAAAATGTAAGTAATGCGAATGATTTGTTTGAAGTCATCGATAATAATTGAAGATAATTAAGTAAGACCTTGTTTATGCATATTCGATTGACTCACATGTATGGAAGAAATACGACAATGAGGTGAATACGAAATGAAGTTTCAGCATTGAATAATAATGCAATAGTGTTAACCGACGTCTTGCAATTGTTGAATAAACGGGGCACAAGCATTGAAGCATAGAGAGACTTGATTTAATTGTTGTTGATTTTCATCGGTGCTGTTAAAAACCGTTCAAAATCTCTTAGATTTTATTGCATAAGCTGTAACAGATTGAAAGTGGAGAGAAGACTCGTGTATGCAATAAAAAAAATAACAATGTACAATTCACGGTTTGGTACAAATGCATGCGAATTGATCGTTATTTTTGAATGCGATACATCTTTTACCAATCACTAAATAGGCTTATCGCTCACCATATACGTATGCATTTTCCGTCTGTATCAAAGCTCCGAAACGGAATGATTTTTAATCAGATGATAAATAATAACGCAAGCGTAGAAGTAAGGCGCATTGTTACCACAAGTGGAAAGTACTGTTAATATTTTACATGCATCGATTCAATAGGTGCACATCTGTACAATTCACACCAAATCCAAACCGTAGCAACAAGATAATGTAATGCATTCCATTCGACCGAGATTCGACTATCTGTTCGAATTCATCGTGTTGTTGTTGCTTTTTTTCAGTACTCAGAAAAATCACTCAACACACTTTATTACGATATTTTCGTTTAGACTCGATCGACAAGGTAAACAAATACAGTGCTGATTTTCAACCATTCTTTATTATTATTTATCATATTGAAGCGCAAGCGTGTAAGCTTCGTCATTCGTATTTAATTTTTTTGATAAGACAATATAGCTACAATTCGATCCGCAATTGGAAAACTCAAAATATTCTATTGTAGTTGTAAAACGACCATCGATTCGATACAATCGAAGACAATTCCGTCATAACAGTGAATGAAATATATTTTGCACCGTTTATACTTAGTGTAACAGAAAGTGTTTTAATGTTTACAGTGAATGTTCAATATTTGGATTGGATTGGCTCGGTTTGGTTTGGTTCAATAGTTTCATTGAGCGTATTTTACGGTTTCAATATGTGTTTTGTCGTAATGGTTTCGAGGTGAATTGATTTTAAGAGATATTGATGTGTTTACTCTGGAAGCGTTGTGTTTCAAAAATAGATTAAAACATGTTGTTGAGCTGATCACAAGTAGTTTTTTTTTTAATATAGTGAAAAGTGACAAATTTACAATAATAAATCAAAGTAAATAATTGATTGGATCGATAGAAGAGTGATCAATTTATTTGATCTGAAGCAAAGTCAAATGGGTCGTCCAAGCAAAAATTCTCAAATGGATAAAAACAAAGAGAAGATTGATGTAAGTTAATAGGTATCGCCCACATCTTGTATAGTTTGCCATGTGCCTAATGTTTTTATGTGCTAATGTCTCAATATATAGTTTGATTAGTTTTTTTTTTCAAGATTTTTAATTCAATTGTGGAACCAATGTTTAAAAAAGAGCCAATATTTGTATAGTTGATGATTCAATTCGTCATAGTTTCAAGCATCAGTGTGATTCGTTTTAAATTAATTTAACTTCGCTGACACTTTGATATGTATCTAGTAGAATAGTGTATCCCAGAACATATTGCTACCGAGATAAGAGTGGCGGCGCTTGAAAACACTCAACATATGCATGTGTACAATTGAACAGTTACCATTTAACGTACTGCTAAACGATCGTATCAATTTTATAACTCCATTTGGTGTGCCCGGCAGATTGGTTCAGTAATTGGTCCCTACAACTTGTGACTAATGTCACACACTTGAGAAATTAAACAACAACGAGTGAATAATCTATCATGGAGAATACGATTCAAGCAATTAATTTCTACGCAGCAATCGCATTGAAGAGTGTATGCGTTTGCGTGTTAAAATGAACAAAGTAATACCATATTCCGAATATGTCGAAAAGTGAGGCAGAAAATCATTCGTCAGAAAGCGATGCATTGAAGCAATAACCGATTGAATGCTACATACGATGAGTCTAATTAACATTTTGAACTATTGTACAAGCAAATACAACTTGGAATATATGAAAACATACTAAAATACTGTCATCATCTTGGTGGTTTTACAATCTCACTTGAAAGTTATAACTGTTTTTCACTCATTTGGTTTGTGATAACAGGGAAAAACCAGTTGGAAATGAATTTAGCTGAATGACATCGACAAAGTTCCCAGAGGCAATATTTAGGTGTTCTATGCATTCCATTGCATGTAACTATAAAAAAATGCAATGCATTTTAAACGATCTGAAACCTAGTCTGAAACCCATTAGAGCGCTTAGCTTAGGATTCAAATTAAAATTCAAATCGTGAATACAAATCAAGGAATAAACTTCTTTTCAATTTACGGTAATGAACGTGATTCGATTTGGCATTCGATTTAATGAGCGTCGCAATTCATCGCGTCAAATATATGAACGACAACTCTGAAAATGTTTATTTCTCCATTGCATTGTTTTTTTTTTTTTTTCGAGACAAAAATTGAATAATGTTGTACAGTTTCTAACGCTTGAGAAAAGAATGTTTCAACAGAAAAGTGTTGTGAAAACTTTGAAGCAGACAAAATAAACAGAACCGCTTGTGTTTATAAAAAAAAAGTGAGACGCTAATTAATGTGTTGGCAATTGAATCAATCAATTTTAGCAAGTAAATCTCGACTAATAAACATCATTCGAACTGACATACCGCGAGGATGAGCAAAATCACATTGAAATCCAAACTGAAGTCACGGTGATCTCATTCGGTTGTGATTGAAACGAAAAACGGAACAAGTGAACAGTGAACTCAAGTGCATTGTTTCAGTTATTTTCTCGCTTCACAAATTGTTAAACGAACTGAGTGAATTCCCTACCGTCACTTGCTTTCTATATAGACTGTATATTTTTTTTGAGCTTCGCGTTCCCAGCGCCATCTCTACGTGCACCTGAAAATTAGAACAAAAAGTATGTGTAGAATGTTTGTATAATGCAAAACCATGTGTTGTGCAACGTCCTCGCAAATTATTTCGATGGCACAAACTGTGCAAAGTAATTTTAATTTATTTTCCATCACAAATTCACTAGATGCAAACAATAAATCGGTTTTTGTTCAGAGCGTAGAATGACAGATGTCACAACAAATGATTCCATATTCAAACTTCGAATCAATCAATATTCTACACATACTTTTTGTTCTAATTTTCATGTGCACGTAGAGATGGCGCCATCATGCAGTTTTTGACATTATTTGCCATTGTAAGTAATGGTAGGTGAATTCCCGTCTCGCATGCAACTGGCATTAATTGTTTGCACGGTTTTTGTTCTTAATTGATAGAAATGTGCTAAAGAGGAAACAGTACGGAATTTATTTTATCTTAATGATTCATATTCGAGTTTTGATTGCTTTAAAAAAAAGAGAAGTACCGTACGCCAAAACCCTAATACACACATTAATTTAAACGCTTCTTTTAAAATAATGATGATATTTTGTGGTCTGGTTATTATAAAATATCATTTGTATCTGTATTGCTTTTCTGATGTTAATGAACTATTGACAGATTTATTTCTATAAATATGTAAGCGTGCGTGTTCGATGATTTCGGATTGCATTCAAATCATCATCAAACTCCAACACTTAGAATGTGTTTTAGAATTGTTTTTTTAAGAAAAAATTGCAAAGAATGAGAAAGATGTAAAAACAAAGATAATAAAAATCGGTCGTGTGATTTTTCATAAGTATGAATTACCATATCAATTCCGATAAGAAGAAAGCGCCAACAAAAGAACAGACACAAATTTGGCTCTCAAAAGAATACATGAATGAGCTCAAAACACAGAAATAAGTCATAAACTAGATGGAAATAAAGCATATTCCACACTTTCATATGAACATTTTTCATTGAAAACATCAAACGGCAAAAAACAATCTACATATATAACAATCGCATCATTCAAGTTTCTTTTCATCTCGTGTGAAAAAAGAGCAGATAGTACCAAATTATCATTTTCTCAAATTTCCGTTGGACTGGTGTCGAAACTGTATTATTGCCTACATTTTGCATAAACGAGCCACAATTGCGAACTAATTTCGTTTAAAGAAATCACATGAAAGCATTTGACTGCATGTCCATGCACATATATGTGTAAAGTTATACATTTTGCAGGCTTTTTGACGAAAGAAAGAAAGAAAGAAAGAACGCAGTTCATATTTACAGTTTGGAAGAAATAAATAAGCAAATGTTATTGTTTATGTTTTGCTTTTTGTTTGAATAAAGAAAATCCCTTTACATACCATACAATGTGTCAATTCTGAAAACTAAGCGAACATTTTATTTACAAAAACAAAACGAATCTTTGCACTCTTTCTTTCTGACTAAACGACGATGCGTAGATGCAACAAAAAAGTGGTGAATCATTTTTTAAGTACTTCTCTGGCGATCGAAAACAGCATGCAACTCCACGATTTTTGCATCACTCAAACAAATGTTTGTATACACGCGTAAATGTGGCAAAAATAATTCACGTCCGAAATTGAAATGGAAGTGAATATTAAAGCGAATATTTGTAGCATAAACAGAACATTCAGAACAATCGAAGTGTTCGAAATGCTCAATCATATCCGTCTGTTGTGTTCGTGCTCTTTTATTTATGTGTTGATGAGAATAAAATACGGTTTTTATTTCGATTGATGGCATATGCAATGGAAACGTCCGTTGCTTTGTTTTTGGCTACTGTTTCTCCGAAGAATTAATTAAGATTAAAAGTTCAATTCAAATGATAAAATATGGAACGCACGAGCAGCCAGTGATCGGTAATGCTGGCATTTCTCATTTATGACTTATGGACCATGTTCATTCAGGCGCAGATCGGACGATATGTTCATTAAATTACTCAGCGTCAAAATTAAATGAAATACTCGGGCATGTATTGAGAGAGCGCACGCAATGCATATATTGTACACATAAAAAACTTAATTGAATTTCAGTGGAATGGCTTGGTCCACAAAAAAAATGTAATTAAATGCAAAGTACACGCCTGTGAGCACAATTGCAACTATTGTCATATCCAATTAATGAATTTGTAACTTTTGGTGACTTTAAATGAATCGCAACTGATATTTCTTTGACCATATAATCCCAAAGTGAACCAATGTTGGCGTCAATCGGATAAATGCTGTTATTTTATTTTCATTGAATGTCATTTTAGAAGCGCAATCAACTCTTTTTGAAATTGCTCAATCCATGCAATCAATATTCTGATTAAATTCTTTTCTTATCTACAATTGCGTTTACTTAATTGAAGATGATTCCGATGAAAAATAAAATCATAAGTATATAGAATGAACGAAAGTGGGAAAACGCCCCATTTTAAGTGCGTAAGCATTCAATTATCAATTAAAACTAACAAATGCGAGCCACAAAGCCACACAAAATACATTAAACAAATAATCGCGAGCTCAGCACAAATTGTGTTCGACTTTTGAAAAGATAATCAGTTAGGGCCAGCAATCGTATTCAAACACCCAGTCAGAGTATGTTGATCGAATGGAAGCATTCCATGATTATAAAAAATTATTCATATACGTTTATTTGGTTTGATGCAAATGCCATGCGTCTCGTTTTTGCAGTTCACATTCGGTTCTGACTCTATGGTTTGCTTCAATTTAGACCGAATATGTCGATCAATGGAATGAAGATAAAGTGTGAAAGAGAAAGACAAAGAAACAGAATGCTGAATAATGTTTTGTATGCGTTCACTTTGCCGGCCCGTAGTATTGAATGGTATTGTATGCAGCAGATTATATAGTTTTTGATTAAATGTAAACTAACTGTTTTGTGTGGCTCTCGGGTGCGAGAGAATTCAAAACGAGACGATGTCGGTGACGACGACGATGAACAACGACAACGATCTCAGTGTAGGAACTCAGTGTCTTAAAAGTTTACTTCTCGGTCAGTTCATTTGCGAACGCTAAGCAAGATGAAACGGTTTCGATTTTCACTCGAACAAATTTCACAAAACAAGTTCTTTGACTCATAGAATGGCTTTGAATATTCAAAGCAATTCGAATGATCAAGTGTTTTTCGCTTTGGAAAATAGACGCATTTCATTTAAGCGTAATCTCTATTTAAGAAAAAGTTGAAATAGTTATTGTTTCCATCGGTTGTGGCTTTTATCAGACTTCCGACATCCAAGTATGTAAGGAATTTATAAAAAAATACGTCGTCACACGGCTAGAAATTTGCGACACACAATTGTGATGCCAACCAAAAATAGACACTCTTCATTACAAGTGTAATAAATATTGGGAACGCGTGCGAACGTATTTTCTATTTTTTTCCGCAAACACCAAACTGAAGTGGGTTTGTTTCAATTTTTTCTGAAAAATTTCCGTGTTAATTTCATTAAATTTCAACAGTGTTATAAGAGTATATATCTATTTCCCTTTGTTTGAAATCGCGTAATTTTAATCGACCAATGCAACTGGTTGCTGTATTTCATTCGATGGTCTTTTACGGATGAAATGAATCGTGTGTTTACTTCATGCTCAAGTATTACGAAATGTGCACACACCAAAACGGTAATAATCGATTCGAGTTTGGATTCAAAGATTTAGTTTGAAACGCGATATCAACAGAATTTATTTCTTGATCGATTTTGTTTTGGCAACACTCCAAGAAAAAAAAACGATGGAATAAAATTAAAATATATAAAAGCATAAAATGAAGCGCCCAAATCAGCGATAATTCATCGAATGTTACACAATTTTGTCTAGTTTGTATGTTTTTATGGTTGGTGTTTACTACGCACTTATTACGATGCGTATGCTAAGCATATAACAAGTGAGAGCGCGATAGATTTGTAAACAACGACCGCAACGGCTGCAACTTGTCGCTAGACAAGGCACACATTACCAAAATCATAGAAAAAAAACTTAAAATACGAAAACGATAGCTTTGTGTGAAATTTATGAGTCAGCTCGGCGACAACTAATATCTTTAAAAAAAGCATCGGAATGTTATTTCTACAAAAAAAGTAATCGAGAAATTAGTGTAAGCCCAACGTAATGATATAAAACAACATCACAGCGACATAAAAATGCAAATAAAACGCCGTATGAGCAAATAGAATGAATAAAAAAAGGCAAGAATAAATGTACATAATGCATGTGAAATACACAAAATTGTAAAATCAGTCTGTGAATGAGTGAATGAAAGAAAGAAGAAGAAAAAAAAACACTCACGCGTTCGATTGTAGTGAATCGAAGACAGAAAGCAAAAGAAATAAACAATAAACATTAGCAGCAACGCATGTCTTCGAGTTATGTTTTTTTCTCATGTATTTTTTATTCTACTTTGCGAGTAAGAAAGACACTGTGAAGTTATGATGTCAAGAATTTCTGGAAATCAAACAAATAATAGCGAACAGCCGAATGCAAGCGTATCGGGCGTTTATGCGACAGCCACTGATTTAGCGTCGGCAGCAGCGTTGAATAAGCAACGAAAGAAACGTAAAAAGAAAAAAGATAAAATATCGTTGACGAATGAGGCGGTGAATTGTAGCTGTGGCAAACGCATCGAAAGCAGTTGTAATTCCGTCAGTACGTGTTCGAATTGTGTGCCGACTGCATGTGTTTACTGTCATTTCAACGATTTAGCCTATTGCGAAAACTATTTTGCCGAGCATTCGTCACGTTTTCAAGGCAATCTTTATGATTCGAACATAAAAAATAACACTGCAACAAATTTTTGGCCACATAAAACCGAAACTAATGACATTCAACGCGATATTGTAAAAGTTGCTCCCTCCGATAAAAGTAATCATTTCATGCGACAACAACGAAGTGCTATTGGTTTAAATCGACGAGCCGAACAACTACAACGTTTTGCTGTCTACGAAAATTTGTGCGAATTTTGTGGTTTTGCTATCGGCAACGGCGCCTACCATTTGCATTGTGATGCCAACAAACGACACAGTCAAAAGACCGAACAAGAAAAACAACAATCCGAAAACATTTATGAAAACATTTGTGAATCGTGTCATTCATTATTCGATGGTGTACAATGTATGAGTGAAACTTGCAAACGCAACCAAAATTCAGCTGTTCCAATAACTGGTGAAATTATCGATGTATTAGTAAAAAAACCACCGATTGCTAATCGACATCAATTTGGCAAGCAATTTAGTGAATTTTTGGGAAGTTTTAAACAAAAACTAACACCAAAAACAAGTGAGACCGAGAGAAAAAAACCAAAAATTGAAATTATCCATAACATTGACGACGTTTACAAAACAAACAAAACATTTGATTTGAATGAGATTGTTCAGTTGAAAAATCAGTCGTTGTGCGACGAACAAAGCAAAAAAACGTGCAGTGAATTAATAAATAGTAACAATGAAATAGTTACCGATGTACCGTCGAAGCCAATTCGTCTGTATCGAACATCGAACAGTGATTCAAATTTCTTCGAAAATTATCGTCTGTCGCCACCCCACTTCCAATCTCCGTATTCGGAGTCAATAGTCAGTGATACGATATTATATAGTAATTCGTATGCGCCACCAACATATGAAGACGCCATCCAGCACAGTAAATATGCGAGTGTAAGCCCATTCAAACTAAGGGCTCGGATAAAACCAAGAGAATACGATTCAACATCGGCGTCATCTTTCTTCTCATTCAATTCATCATCCATCACAACGCTACAATCCCATTCATTGGCAACCGAACGAAAGTCTCCGACGATTCTTTCAGTGTTATTTGACAGCGACGACTCTGTCAGACAATGGATGTTATCGCTTAAACAACAAACGCATGATTATACCAATGAAAGTAGACAATTTGAGTGTGGCTCAATTAAATGTTTACCATCTAAAATGCTCACTGAAACCGCAACTAAATTGAAATGGTCAATTGAACACGGCAAAAATATGAATAGTTCAAATGCAAACATTGATAATCAAACAAATTTACTGCAGCGTATTGAATTGTTTAAAGAGAATTTAATGGAGCACAACATGCATTCAAAACGGAACGCTATTTACATTAAAGATTCAATGTGTGATGTATCGATGGATGCAACTTTGTCAACACCACCACCGGATACTATTTTACCGGATATTGAAATGACGAACGCTCAACAATCAAGCCTTTTACCATATTATGAACATAATAGCACCGAAAATAGTGATGAAAACGTGAGTGTGCGTCAAAAAAGTCAACTAGCGCTCATAGCTGATGAAACTCATGAACAACATATCAATCACAATGTTGCGCTTGATATAACATCACAATATTTACAAATGCTAAAAGCATTCTATATGGAACAAGTCACATTGTCGACCAGTTTAAATCGTATAACGCTCGTGTGCGGCGACAGACGTATTCATTTCTTGCTAAAATTTCTTATGAGTCAATCGCAAAGTTCATTGCAGTGTTCAAATAAATTAGTGCAACCGACTAGATATACAAATTTTCAAAAAGTCATCGAGCAAATCCATAAAATGGGTGTCAAAAAACAATTAGGTGAATATGATAAAGGTAAAGCGATATCACAGAGTGGTAATCATTTGGAAAGAGGTAGCAAAAAATGTCGCTTAAAGATACCGAATGCCTTTTTAATGAGGTCATCGAACTTGGCATTAAGAACACCGTTTAGGCTGCGTCACAAAAGATCAATCGACGATTTCGCAAAACGAAAGCACGGAATATTTTATGTGGATACGGAAAAAGTGAAAACATTTGATGATTTTAGTAAGCCCGGTACCAAAGATTCTGCAAAAAAATCGTTGAACGATTTCACATGTAAAAAAACCGATTATTCATCCGTTGTAACGGACACTAGTTATGACAAAGACATGCCGAATAGTGTAGGAAGTGAAATGAAGAGAAAAGACGATGTTCAAACAAATGAAGAAAACATTTATCAATCGATTTGGATGTTTAAAACGATCGGTACAGCTAATGATACAACTTTTAACGGGGATTCGCTGAATAATCTTGATGCGTGTAAAAACGAAAGTGATGAAACTACAATACACGATGGTAGCGACTGGGAAATCGCACAAGAGGAGTTCCTTTTCTCCAGTCAACGCATCGATAATATTCGTCATGCAAATGACACGCAACCGATTAGTCATACAGCAGATTCCGAAGCACAGCAGCCGAAATTGTACGCAACAACTCCGAATTATTCGAATGGAAAACCATTTTATCAAGCAATCTGCGTATTATACAATACGTCAAATCCGAGATGGAATGAAATCATTTATGATTATAATGGCAATTCAACGAAATTCTGTGGAAGTATGGTGAAAAATAAAACTGAAAATGAATCTGCAAGTGATCGTAATGAAATACGCGAAAATGCGTCAAACGATGTAATAAAAATTGAAAATCAATCGAACAAACCAAATATGTGTAACGATCAAAGAGTTACAATGAATTTGGACAGTGTAAATGCGTGGAAAAAATTACTACGAACAGTAGACTATAATGATGATGAAGAAGATGTGGTGAGTTTTAATTTTGCATTGAGTGTATGAGCTTGTTTCATCATTTATTTGGGCACATGGCATTTATAATATTATCGTAAAAAATTATAATTGTATAGATAAAAATGAATCTCATGTTTTTGATTTTGATTTAGATTCTGTCCGAGTCGTATTTGCTTAATCAGAAGTCCGCGGAGTATAACAATCAGAACAACGACAATCTTCAAAGTGCTCAATCTGATGATTCGATATCCGATACAACGAAAAATTCTATTCAAAGTGACAAAACTGAAGAAACTGATCTATCCTCGGACTTATCGATAAACTCCAATTCACCTCCAACAACATCGATCGAAAGCAAAAATAAAAAGGAATCTGGTTTCTTGAATAAATGTAAGTTGATTAGTTCATCACGTGTAATTAATGCATCTATCAGTTTTATTACATTAATATGATCAAAACGGAATCGTGAACAAACCAATTAAGGCATATATTTAATAGCATTATGACTAATAGTAAATTCTTAATGACATTTTTATACTCTTTTTCAGTGCAATACAGACGCTTCGATATGTAAGTATCTAATGAACTCGTGTATGCTACAATTTTACATTTCCGAACTTCATCATTTATTTTTCTTTTTTTTTTTGTGCAGAGGAAAATGTAATTCGAAAAAAGATGATGTAGTTCAAGGTCTTTTTTATAAGAATTTAAATGGAAAAACACAATCAGAATCATCACCACCAATGGAAATCAAAAGGTTGAATCAAACTGGAACTCTTGTGTTCGGTGTAACATTGGAAGAAGTTGAAAAGGATGATAAATTGTCGGATATTCCAAAATTTGTCGTGGAATGCATTAAAGTGATTGAAATGGAGGAAAATATGAGAACGAATGGCATTTATCGCGCGTCTGGTAAAAAAGACAGCATTGATAAACTGAGAAAAAGGGTACTAAATGACAAAAATAATTTTCGAGAGGTCATTCAATGACTTTGATCCATTTTCTATTTACAGATGAATGAATCCAAACTTAGAAAGGGCACAAAGTATGTATCTTTGAAAGATGAAGACGTTCATACAATAACTGGAGCATTGAAACAATTCTTTCGCGAACTCAAAACTGAACTAATACCAGAAAACATAGTGAAGAATTTACCCGACGATTTAGGTAAGTAAATAACCAGATTATATTAACTAACTCAAAATATTCAATTAAATTTACTCATATATTTGTGTTTTAATAGAAAGTGAAACAAGTATAGTGGAAATTCGAAACGGTATCAGCACAATCGATTACTTATCGCGGGAAACGCTGAAGTACCTGCTGCAACATCTTATACGGTAATAATTATTGAAAAAAATTGACTTCAACAGGTCTCATATGCTTTCTTTATTAATTTCATTGATTTGATTTGGTTTGGTTTTAATTACAGCGTTGACGCAAATAAAGAGTTCAATTTAATGAATGCGTCGAACTTGTCAATCGTTTGGGGTGCAGCGCTGTTCACATCTTCCGTCAGTTTTACCAATGCCTTTGAAACAAGCGATTTACTCCGACGAAACACATTAATGTTTCTTCTCATTCAACATTACGACGAAATTTTCATTGACATCGACAGACTTATTTAAAAAAAATCTTCACCATTCCGCGATAAACAAAAAAAAAAATCGTTACGAATCACACGCATGAACCTAACGCTAATAACCAAACACAAAATATAACCAATTGCATTATATTTATTTAACATTCAAACTACTTTTTGTGATATTTTACGATGTCGAAATGTTGAAATTGTTAATCATATTAGAAATTCATAAAATCATTTGACCCTAGCCTCATAGTTCATCATTTATAATATTATGCAATAACATTGCATTTGTAGAGACAATATTTTCTTATTTGGACATAAACATATTTTTGATGGAAAATGCTTGATTTGTTTTATTTGGGTTTTTATATTCCATTCACATGAAAAAATAAATAACAAATGAGTTTATACTTGTAAAAAATATATGTAAAAAAATAGAGAAGTATCGGAAGAAACTAGTATGCCGAAGCGAGCGAAGCGAGCCGAAGGCATGTTAGTACCGTTTACAACTACTTTATGTAGTGAAATAAAAATTTATTTTGTACTTATTCAATGAAGTAGGCTATCGTCGTTTTCTAGCACGTAGTTAATTTAGAAAACGTCATTGGTGCGCTAAAGTCTTATCCACTTTTTTGCTATTCTACAATATACATTCATCGTTCACTTGTAATGACTTTCGGCTCTTCTACGCTTCGGCTATTATTCGCGCGTATGTACAAAGCAATGACAGCGTTTCATTCAGTTTCTTTGTTTACATTATGGATGTATTTAAGCATCGGGTCCGACCAAATACTTCAATTGAATATGTTGATAAAATAAAATATCTACGAGATTTTATTTAAAAAATATGAAATAATTCGTCAAGTTTTTTATTCAAAATAAATAAATAAATGTTTGTTGATACGGAGATTTGTTGCGAGAATAAATTAATTAAACACAAATCCACAGCATCGAATACTCAATCTTTAAGTACAACACGGAGTGCCCGATGTTTGTGATAGTATAGCAGCTGTCAAAAACTGCTTGAAAAATAAAAAAAAAAACCATAAAATTGGGCGATTAGCAATATTACCATTTAAATAGCGAACAATGACAACTACGACGGCAGCCGCTCAGCCATTTTGAGAATTTTTCACGGGAACATTGTAACACTGTCTCCAATTCGTTTTGAATGAAATAAAGTGCAAATAGTTCGATTGAAAGTGAAAAGTTTGAAAAAATAGAATAAAAACCCGGCATTATTGTTAATATGGTGAAATTGTTTCGTGGAATTATATCCAAAGAGTAAATTTGAATATTTTTTACAATATATTTATACGGGAGAAGTAATTTGTGACCAAAGTGATGTGTATGATGTGTGAAAATTCTTTGCTTTTGTTTGATTGTAAAGAATATTTCCATCCCTAATCCGATGTTCCGTATTCGAAATGAGAGTGAATGTTTTTGCCATGACATTTTCAATCCATTTCTATGAATTATTTCCTAGTTGTAGTCTTTTTTGTATTTTTAAATTCAATTCTGTTTTCTAGGCAATAAAATAAAACTTAAAATAAAAAATCCAATTACAGATCGAAAGTTTGATTTTGAGAGCGCTGATGATCAACCATACCAAGAAAGAGAGAAAGAAAGAAAGAGAGAGAGTACGAGTTTAGTTGAACGAAAGTGCGAGCGAAAATAAAGAAAAAGAACTATTTGCATATTTGAATTTTGTTTGATGCAGTGACATTGTGAATATTAACAGGAGAAAACGAATCTGTTAACCAAACTGTGTGTTACATATATCTCATTATATGGAATTTCTCTCTGTCGAATGATCTGAGAAATGGTTGAACTGTGAAAAAAAGAGATATATTCTGTGAACGGAATTTAAAGACACCTTTTAATTGAACCTGTGTAAAAAAATAAGAAGTACGAAAGAACCGAGAGTTAATAGTTTTTTTCGTGAATCGTTGTGCGAGAGATAGAAAAAAGAGAGTGTGAGAATCAATTATGAACTATTTGCTTCTATTTTATTTGTTTATTTTCTTACTTTATATTAACAAAAACAAATCCTAACAAAATTGTACACAAAGAAAAACCACACGCAAGTTTTCCCACATGTTCTTCTTGTTTTATGTTTGCTGTATTAAGAAATCTGTTTTTACGTTTTTGCGTATTTATTGAATATATTATTATGGTAATCCGAAAATAGTGAAAACCAGTCATATTTATGAGCGTAGGAAATTATCATGAGCATAATATGAGAGGATATGCGTGTATTGAATTGATGCGAAAGCTGTCGAGAAGCATGCTATAATTATTTGCCTGAATTCGAATCATAAGAACATGAAATTCATTTGATATAAAAGAAACTGAGAATATGTGCGGTGTGCGGTTAGATTGCTTGTTACGTGTGATTTTCGTTTTGTGTTTTATTTTCATTTACTGCTTTTACTTTAATTTTATAATTGAATAGTTTGTTTTTTGTTTGTGGCGAAGTGCTTGATGGTTTTATGCAATATGAGGGCTTAGATGATTGATTTTTTGTTAAACTGTGTTTTCGAATTTTAGCCAAAATGTCGGTCGAATACGTCCAGGTGGCTGAAGAGGAGGGAGAAGAGACAATTGAGCTACCAATCGAAAGTGACGGTACTTTGGTATGTAATCATGTTGTGTAGACGTGATAAAAGATATTTTATAAATGAATAAATATATTTGTTTTTAATTTATAGTTACTATCAACACTGCAAGCTCAATTCCCAGGTACATCTGGTTTAAAGTATCGAAACGCAGTGAGTAATGCCATTCGTGGCATTCGTTTGACTGAAGGAAGACTTCATCCCCCACAAGCAGACGATGGCTGGGGAAATCAGATCTATTTGTGTGTATTTCCGAAAGACAATTCTGTGGCTGAGAATAAACGTAAACGTGATGATACGTTGGAAAATTCCACGGCCAAAACTAAACGAATAGAAAGTCGTTTAAAATGCACTGATTTGATTGTACTTGGTATGCTATAAAATTGATAACATCCGATAACAGATATTTTCTAACAATTTTTTTAAAATTTCGATAGGACTGCCATGGAAAACAACCGAGGAAAGTTTGAAAGAGTACTTCAGCACCATCGGTGAGGTGTTGATGGTGCAAATTAAAAAGGACCTACGGACTGGCCAATCGAAAGGCTTTGGCTTCATTAGATTTGCTTCATACGAAGGCCAAATGAAGGCACTATCATCCAGACACTTCATCGATGGACGTTGGTGTGATGTTAAAGTCCCCAGCTCAAAGGTAAGATTGAGTAACGCTTTTTTTTAATTATTATGTTAATTTTGTCAATGCCTTTCAATTTATGCGGTATTTTTTTCTATGTTGACAAGGAGGGTACCATACAGCACTTGCCATGTAAAGTTTTTGTCGGCCGATGTACGGAAGATATAACTGCAGAAGATTTGAAAGACTACTTTTCCAAATTTGGCGAGGTCACCGACGTGTTCATCCCAAAACCATTCAGAGCTTTTAGTTTCGTTACTTTCCTTGATCCGGAGGTAGCTCAGTCATTGTGCGGTGAAGATCATATTGTCAAAGGCAATTCTGTGTTTGTATCAACGGCTGCTCCAAAGTCACAAGACAGCAAACATTACCATCATAACAGCTCTGGAGGTAACAGTTCACACTATTCACATCGCGGTGGTAGTTCGAATCATCAAAATCACGACATGTATAACCAGGTAAGTTTCGTATTCACTTATCCTACAATAAGTAATACCGTAAATAAAAAGTGTGTCTCAATTTTGTCGTGTTTAACAGGGAAGCAGTAGTAGTGGCAGTGGTCGAAATAATTACAACAATAATATGCCACCATCCGGTCCAATGCATCATAGCAACAACTGGAATCAGAGTCGTGGAAATATTGACATGCCAAATCTGCAATCCCTTGGAATAAACCCAAACGGACAAAATGGACCACCTAATCAAGGTTTTAACATTAACTAACAAATTTGCAAAGAAATCAAAACAAATCTGTTCTGTTTAATCGTCTTCTTCAATTTCTTTTTATTGAAGGCATGAACATGAATCCGGTAGCTATATCACCCGCTATAGTAGCAGCCCTTAATCAATGGGGATTAGCCACCATTGGCAACATGAATCAAAATCAAAATCCAGATCAGGTAAAAAGCAATTCTTCTGAGAGTTTTCCGATAAGACGAAAACGACGATTTTAAATCGAACTGTAGCTTTTTCGTTGTTAGAAAAAAATGATTGTTATTTCAATATGAAATTAAAAATCAGTGAAAAACATCTAATTTTTGATAATCTTTTGTGTTTTTTTTTTCACACACACACACACACATACTCTACTACGTTTGCTTACTTACAAAAATATCCAACAAAAGAAATATGACAACTATAAAGGAGGAAATCAACCATGGTCACGGAATAATGGACCTTCACAAGACAACCACAAACCACATTTTCTTTAAATGCATTTGAAATCATCTACTTCATTATTCATTTTTAATTTAGTTCTTATGCAAACATACTGTTTGTTTCACCTGAAACATCAATTATGTTATTATTGAATTAAATGATACATACTTTCATCGGATCTATGCGAAAAAACACACAATATGAACGGTATAAATATATATTTATACCAAAACCTTCGTAGCACCCTGGATACGAAATGTTCGATTGATCAAACCCATTCACAAAAAGATCTTTTTTTTTTTCAAATAATTAAGCTAATTTAAGAAAATGTGCATGTGCTGAGACGTAAATTAAAATAAAATAAAACTAAATACACTAGAAACGTATATTCAAATTGTAAAAGGAGATCTTGTCCCTTACAACAAATATTGTATTTAATAATAAACTGATACATGTAACAAGACAAAAACTCTACATAGTGTAATGATTATTTCTTTAATTTATTTTAAACTGTTTTAAAATGTACTATGTACATGTACATGTTGAAAATCTAAGTCATATCAATTATTAAAATTGAATGACCCGCTTAATAGGAGAAACAAATTGTTCACTGTTTTCTATTTTAGTCTTCTTAATCTAACTTGATGATATATATTTTGGTCGTTTTCAATCGTCTTTTCAAAAGTCACGACGTAAACTTATTTTATCGAAGAAAGTTTTAAGTTTAAATAAAATTGCTCTTTCCCTCGGCCATCAAATTGTATAGCGTGAATTGTGAATTAAAAAAAATAACATCAATTCAAAGTATTCGGTATAATCTTACACGAAGGTTACAAGGAGAGTCTAAACGAAGAAGTACAAATTTAATGTACTTTATTAATAAAAATGATGGATTCAGAATTTAATAGAATTTTCAATGACTGCTTCACCAATCGCGCAGATCATGTTTATTAAAATTTTATAGTATTTTAATTTGATCTAAATGAGCGAATCAAAGCCTGTTTTGGCAAGGGTGCATCCGTTCGTTCTTTCAAATGTCGTACGAAAAGTATTCGTTACGAAGACAGCGAATCGAACAGATTGATTCGAAATTGTTTGTGCAAAATGAATCGCAAAAACGAAGGAATTCAAATTTTATTTTTGGTTTTATAAACAACGAGAAAAGATCGATTCTCAGGATGTAACGTACAATAAGTATATTTATTTCATTGGTTTTTATCGATTGCACGTGGACCAAACTGTTTGTTTCTGCAACAAGTACTAATTAAATTTGTGTAAATTTGAAAACAGAAATAGTGTTTATTTGTTATTCAGGGTTAACATGTGCCTTGTTTTTATTCGTGTGTTTGTTAGAGAATTAGTATGATCCGAAAATATTCACAGTTTTTTTAAATTTCAAATTGCAATTTGTGCACAAAAACCCTGTTTTGTATATTATATATTAGCTACTGTTGTAAACTTTTACCACTTTTTCAACACTATATATGAATGTCCGAGAATGAATGTGAGACTGACAGTCAGCATTTCATGTATGGCGGTGTTACATTTTAATAAACTCTGAGGAGAAGTCTCACATTCATTCTCGGACAATCATATACACCAGTAATGTGCGAGGGGGGGGGGGGGGGTAGGTGTGATTTGGATGGGACAAAAATTTTTCGTGAAAATTATTCGAATTTGCTAGGGTTTTTCACGAAAAAAGTGAAGACCTTTTTTTTTTTTCAGCTCATCAATGTAGAAAATTGAGGAGAATTCTTTCAATTTGCTAAGGTTTTTGGTTCCGAGAGATTTTTTTCCGATTTGCTAGGGTTTTTCGCGGAGAAAATTCTTTCGATTTGCTAGGGATTTTCGCCTAAAAAAGTGACTTCCAAAAAAAAAAAAACGAAACTTTGTCTGATTCGCTAGAGAATTTTTTGTTTTTGAAAAATCACCCCCCCCCCCTGTAAAATGTAGCTCGCACATTACTGATATACACATATGTTCCATTAAAGTGATATTTTATGCCAAAATTGGATTAATTTCAATCAAAGTAGACTCTGATTCAGCGACGGTTTTTTTGTTTGTTTGTGATTTTATTGCTACCGTTCGTTGGCCGAACCACGCCAAATATGGCATCCTATGATGATTTAGATTTTGAATGGTCTCTTTTATGCCGAGAAAATACATGCGCTTCGTGGACCGAATCAGGTAAATGTCTCTTATTTATTCGCTCACACAAAACTGTATGCTCAAGACTGTGACTATGTTGTATAACCAAACTCTAGGGGATATCCATGCGAATTAGAATTAGCACATTAGCAAAAAAATAGGGAAATTTACATGAAGAAAATAGCAAAATTAGCAATAAATAGCAGAATTAGCACTGTACACGTATATACTTTAGTAAGCATTTATTCTTGAATATATTGAAATAATTAATTAAAATAAAATTCACAAAACAAACGAATTGAATAGTGTTGAACTAAAATGTATCAAAATATGTAGTTAAATACGCTTTTTCTCATTTTTAAATAAAAATATATTCAATGGCACGTAACCAAGCACGTTTCATCTGTATTAACTACAATTTACGAATTGCAATCGGAAATGTAGATTTGATGACAGATTTCTTACTGAAAACGTATACGCTAGTGTCTGCTTCAAATATACACGTTGAAAGTGTCAACTTGAAACATTTACGTAAACACATTTCAGTTATTCGATCATGCTGTCAATCTGACGTATGCAATATTTTTGACGTACTAGAGAAATTAGCAAAAAATAGCAGTATTAGAACAAACTAGTAGAAATACTAGCAGAATTAGTGAAAAATAGAGAGAAATAGCGTTTATTATTATAAATTATTCGATCTGCAATTCACGGTTATCCCCTAGACCAAACTACTTGAAATTACATTGAGAGTACTTAAATTGACTTCATAAATTGGTTGTGCTTCTAAGCGCCATCTAACGTACGTAAGTAAAATGAAAAAGAATAACAAACCAAAAGTACGTACTTTATTTCACTGAACTTTTTAAGTTGAATTTTCTACTTCTGTTGCTGAGCTTATTTTATAAGTTTTAAAATCGAAATGGAACTTTTAACCAATTTAAACTCGTGTTCGTTTACACCCCATAGAGAATAAGAAACATCCGATCAGCAATGATAATCAGAAATATGACAAAACCAGACACCGATTAGTTTCATGAGATTAGAATCACTACTATTCAAGTATTAACCGCAGAATCAAATTTTGAAATAATTTCTCTAGATAATTTATTTTAATACAAGTTATTTTTGTGAGTTAAGATTAAGTTTTGATACAAAATCATGGTCTTGTGATTCTGTGCATGATAAATAACATACGGTTATTGTAATTCTCATATACGCTTAGAATTTCTAAATAATTGAATCAACGCACCATAAAATATTGAGATAAAGTCTAATTAATTTTAAATTCAACTCACAATTGTGGGAGAAATGCATTTGGGTCCATGCTGCTGCACCAGTTCATTACAAAAGTGTCAATTATGACACATATTTGCTTATCTTAATGAAGTGTTCTAGATTCTTATCGCAATCGTCGCTGTGTTATTTCTATTCAAATTCAAATGGAATGGAAACTAGAAACTAACCATAGAATTTATTGCAATTTACAACTATTCTTTGAACATAAAAGGTTTTTTAAAACTTAACTAGTTCAGCAGAACCACAAAGGCAATTTAACCATAAGCCAATATGATTTCTATGTCGTTTGATGAAAAAAGAGTTGCTTTCTGAAAGAAATGAATCTGACAGATCAAAGCATAAAACACCTGAAACCACAAAGAGAATACATATTGACATCAACGAATGACATCTTTTTAATTTATTTGAATGATTTTGACACAGAGAGGATTCAACAGTTGAATTGTCCTCATTTTCTATTTCTGTTTCTATACTAATTCTGTATGAATATATGTAAGTAAAAAAGATAAGGTTGTAAGTTGATTAAATTCATTTTGAAGAAGGAAATTAACACAATCGTATGCGTGGGCATTTCTAGTAAGAATTCAATATTGGAGGCGAAACTATGTCAAAAAAGTACATAAAAAATAATGTCCGTACACAAAAGAAGAAACATTCATTAGTTTTTTGAATATTTAGCGATCTTTTATACTTATAATAAAAACGCAAGACATCAACTAATTGCATTTTTCGGAAGCATAGACGTTCATTGATAGCAATTTCGGGTTTATCTTTTGTTCAGAAAATTCAGCAAATAATAAAGTGCTATAATAATATTACAATAGTGATGGCACTTCACCACAATAGAATAGACACAGGACGTTCATCATTACAAGTGTGTCTATCTTTCGGTGCACGCATATTGCATGCTCTCAAAATACATATAAGAGGGGACATTCTATGTCCATAAATTTTTCGACCAAACAAAGCCGACACAGTGGACAATTTTACGCAAACGACAAATTGTCAAACGAGACATGCACACAAAGGCTAGAGTGTAGAGTATATGTTAAAATTGAACAATAACAAGAGCAACAACAATCAACACCGGAATGGCATCCTATACGCTCAATTTGAGTAGTTTTACGAAATATTACGAGCGAAAATGATGGAGAAAGAAATTGCATGCATGTCGTAGCGAAAGTCTCGATGTAAGCGTTCATTTAATGGAAACAGTAATAATGTTGTTGTGATACACAACAAATGACCAGGGTAGCGAGTCTCCAAAGGGAATTGACATTCGATTCATTTATGCACTTGCTACTGCTGCTTCTTATTACTATTTTGCTTTTTCTTTATCTCCTTTTTTATGGCACACGATCATTTCTACAGCGTTCGACATCGGAAGTGTTTCATTTTCATTCTGTGGTATCAGTTCTGACAAAATTGTTAGCCCCATCTTGACGGTTATACACTTTGGTCCTGAATTTTCTCAAAGCAACCACTTCTACAGGCAGACATTGTTTGTTGAATTGGTGCTTGTGTTTATGCTTCACTCTCTCTCTCTACCTTGAAATTACTTAACAATTTATATTGCTCAATTGTTGAGTATGCACTTGTAGAGACGAAATCAATCGCGAGGATGTGCACGCAGTCTCTAGCTTCAACAACGGAAGAAAATGCTTCTCTCTAAATAAAAAAAAACCCTTCAGTTTTTATCACCCACGCACCCATTTTGGATCGTATATACGAAATTTCTGGCTTCCAGCGTCATGACTGAGGGTAGTCATCGATTTACTTATATTGCCGCCAGTGTTGCGTGTATTATCTCCAATTATTTGAATTGCAGTTGAATTAAAATGAGAAAGATTCCTTCGTCGTACATTGAATTGAAAAGAGAGGACTCTTTTTAATGGATCGAAGATGTTCTGAATTGTGTAAGTGCAGCACTTTTATTGGAAAGTCAATTGATTCTAAACAAAGTCATTTCTTCTTCAAACCCAATGAAGGATATGAAAAATCCAAAAGAAAATCGTCAAATACCTAAT